TCCTACCTTCAAATCCTGAACTCAGATACTGTGATTGGGTTACTTACAATTTAATGCCCAATGCAGTTGTATAAGTGCTATTTTATTGTCCCCATTTTTGGGGGGGAAATGGTACACATTCCAAGGTCCAGATACTGCCCTAGATATTTTCTATAGATGATTTGCACCATTCCTAAGCCTCACTGTCATTCAATATGGCATGTGGAATACCCACGCCTGACACTTGGGAAAGTCGAGTAATTTGCCCTGTATCACCCTACTAAGTGGCAGAGTCAGGACTAGAGTTTGTCTTCCTACCTTCAAATCCTGAACTCAGATACTGTGATTGGGTTACTTACAATTTAATGCCCAATGCAGTTGTATAAGTGCTATTTTATTGTCCCCATTTTTGGGGGGGAAAAGGCTAAGAGAGGAAAAATGACTTGGCCAAAGTTTAGCGCCAATAAGAAACAAAGCTGGGGGCAAATCTAGATTTGTCTCCATGCCATTTCTACATCTACTGCCTAAAATAACTTCTTTCCCTGTTATTATTAATCAGAGACATAGATCATCAGAGCCACTCTGAGACTTTTGACACTTCCAGTCATGGTAATTGCTAACACAAAAGGTTGTTCCGATTATAGCCAAAAGCAAAGAAATATAATAAATTAGTCTGCACAGCCTTAGTGTGGGTAAATGTACAGTGTGTTAGGCTCTAGAAAGACTAAATTGCAGCTTGCATGTCCCCATAACTGTTTGGATTCCCCTGGATCTCTCCAAACCCTTTCTGGGCGTAAGGGGCATCGCCCCTTACGTGTTGTCTGGGAGAGAAATAACTATTTCTGCTTAGGAAGCACCAGTGCAGAAAAGATACCAAATTCAGTCTTCCTTGCAGTAAAGCTGTATTTTCCAGAGGGGAAAAGGACACCTTCCTGGTGGTTTGTGGGGTTAGCCTGTGCTTTTCTGGAAGGGTCCCTGGTTGGGGAGGGAGGTGGGGCACCAGGGGCGTCATGGGAATTTACCCAGCCGGCATGGCCCAGTTCCCTGGCACAGCCGATTTATTTCTGCCTTCTGAAATGTGTACTGGCTCAGGTTACAGCCGATTTTCCCCAGCCCTCCCCAATGTTCCTGGTTTAATGTGACCTTCTAGGATGAGCTCCCAGCACTCGCTTGCAGGGGAGAATGAGATGAGGATTACGGATTCGATTCGCTTCAGCGGGTTTCCCCTCAGGAACATTCCGGAATTTAAAGATGCACTTCCCCACCTTATTTAGTAACACAGTCTAGCGTTTCCAAATTTAATTTATATGGCGATTTTCATCTGAAGTCTGAATTTATGAAAGGACAGAGTTAAGTCATCCTAACGCCTTCTCCAGCTGTCTTGGGAAACAGCAAGTAGTTGCTTATTCAAGGCCCCTTCCTTGCAGTGTTAAGCCGATTTTCAGTTATCTGGAACCCAGGCCAAGTCAGTCCAGGTCCTTGTTAAGTTTTTTTAAGGCTTTCTAACAGACATTTTCATCTGCTAGTGCCCTCTGCTGGACTTCAAGTTCTCAACTTCTCTAAGCTGTAGAGCCCAGACTAGGCACCCCATCTCACCAAGGCCTTGACTGGAACCAAGTGGTTGGGGATGTAGCCCTTGACCTTCTGGCATTCGTACTCCTCTGTCAACACTTTGTATGGTGGTGGCTCTCTTCATGACCTCAGGGACTGGCAGGCAGGTTCATTTACGGAGCAGGGTGAGCTGCTTGGTATTCAGGTGGCTGGTACCATTTGAAAAGGCCCATGTAAGAGAAGAATTGAAGGTGTTTATATGAGAGGATGAGTCAGTGTCTGAATCTCTGGGAGTTCTGCTCAATATTAATTCTTGGGGTTGAGTGGAGAAGGGTTGGCGTCTATCTCATTTAAACCTGTCGTAACACAAGTTCCGAAAATGGGAGGAGAGAGGGCCACGCCTTCCTGAGGGCTCTAGAGGAGGTAGAGAAGGCTGTTGCCACAGTGGTTTTGTCTGCAGTCCCTCCTGTTCAGCGTTTGGCTCTGTGACACGATCCCTGAAAAGCCCCCAACCAGAAGTGCCATCTGTATCCCATCCATCCTTCTAGTGCTGGTGCATTCCAGTCCTGGACAGGGAGTTCTTTACATCACCATCTAGCATAGTGTCCGCCCATGATAAGCATGTGGCAAATGGAGCCGAACTAGAATGCTTTTTCTTCTCAGTTCTGCTTGTCAATTTCAAGTATCAGCACAAAAACCCTGTTGTAAAGACAGACTTCTCTTACTTTCCCCAGAAGGAAGTGATCTTTCTGTAGTTTCTGTTTCTGTAGCATTTAATATTTACTTCTAAGAGCTACTCTTTTCTACTTTTAAATGTACTTATTTATATTAATTCTTACTTTCCAGATTGTAAGTGCCTGGAGAGCAGCATCTCTGTCTGATTCATATCTTTATTTTCTGTGACCCACCAAACAATGCTTCACATACAATAATAATGCCATTGGTACAGCAGTTATTAGGTCCCAGTCACTGTCCTCCGTATGTTCATTCTTTAATCCTTGCAACAGCTTTGCAAGGTAAGAAGTTTCATTAACATCTATCTTCATTCTTTTGGTAAGGAAAATGATGTTAAAAGTTGCTCAGGGTCAAATGCAATAACTAGGAAGTGGAGGAGCTTGGAATCAGTGCCAGGCAGCGTATTGCCGAGTCTGGACGTAACTGTGTTCTTGATGTTGCCGCCATGTGCATGCAGAGGGCATTGCAGAAATGCTTGTCGAATGCATGCAGGGTGATAAGTCTTAATTAGGACCAATATCCAGTTTGAAAGTGATCCATTGTTGCTTTTATGTGCACCCTCTGAACTGTTTACTGAGCAATGGGAAGGCCAAACGGGACACCAGAAGGTGGTTCTAGTTTTGGTTTCTAAAGCCCTGGCTGGGTTGGCCTGTTTGAGGTTCTCGTTTGGAAGCCAACAGTGTCATCTAGTGGGATAACTTGCTAATAGCAGCTCAGAATTATTTTTCTGGAACCCTGGCCGATTGTCATTTAGTTCTGGGAAACCTGATTATTAGCTTAACTGTAAATTTTGATTACCAGAGGGAGGGTAGGGGGAGAAGGAAGAGCCAGCCCATGGTGCCCTCAATGGAGTCAAGTTTGATCTCTTCCTTGAAGAGGCTGCAATGCTGATTGTGGTCTTTTGGGTTGGTTGAGCTCCATTGGCTATTAGTGTAAAACACTGGGCTCCAGACCCCCTCCCTCCTGCTTCTCACGTGTGCTGCCAACAGTGTAGACTGCTATTCTCGCTCACGTTCACCTCTGGAGCTGTGTCTGCTTGGGAATTTGAGTTCCGATCACCTGTGTCACCTCCGGTAGTAAAACACGTACTCCAGATTGTATAAAAGACTGTGCCTAATGCACGTAACAGGTCACTCCCGACGTGAGAAACCCCATTGGTCAACAAATAATAGTTTTGTTATAAGGAGTTTATAATAAGCAAGTCCGTGAGGCCTTGCAAAGGGGAAATGATAAGTAGCCCCTCCACAGTGAACAAGTGGCAAAAAGCACTTTGTGTAGAGTAAACGGAAGAAAAAAGGATTGTGTGCACACTTCTTCCTGCCAAGCAGCTGGTTGCTTTGTGTTTGGTGCTGTTCTGGTTCCTTGTGTGCATGTATGTTTGAAAATTTGATGTAAATTGCTTCTAAGTTCATTTACTTGTGCTGAAGGAACAGAACATATGAGCATGGTTATAACTGTGACCACAGAATATCATGTGCAAGCACTTACCCTACAAGATGGTTCAGAGTTTACAGTCCGCTGGGGATCTGGGCTAAGGAATACCCTCCGGTGATCAATGTTTTATTGCAGTGGACAATCCACCAGAGCAAAGGAACAGTTTTGGTTATCCTGGTGCCTCGGTTAGAAAGTGACATTATGGTAGTAGGAATTTATTATTAATAGAATCTAGGCAAAGAAGGGATTTGCTAACTTTTTAAGTGAAGGGCCAGGTAATAAATATTTTAGGCTTGTGGGTCTAATGGTCTGACCACTCAACTTATTCAGTTCTGTCTTAACTACTCAGCTCTGCCGTTATAGCCAAAAAGCAGCCATACTGTGTCAATGAATGGGTGTGGCTATGTGCCAATAAATCTTTATGATACTGAGTTTTGAGAATCAGTGTCATGAAATACTCGTTCCGTATTATTTTTCCCCAACCATTTTAAAAAGTCAACACCATTCTTAGCTCATGGGGCTGTAAAAAAACAGGTGGCTCCTGATTTGGCCTGTGATCCTGTAGTTTGCAGACTCCTGATTAGATGCCTGGACTAGTTAATAATTAGCAAGTAATAAAAATTATTTGTTCATCAGCTCTGTGTTCAGTTAGTGTCATGAGGTGCCTGAACGGCTTTTCTTTCTCTGAGTGAGATGGAAGACAGTTGATTCCACAGGATTTCAATGTAAGGGTCTTCAAGAAATCTACACTGAGACTCTATAATCATCTTCCCACAGGGGTTTAAGGAGCCGAGGGACTCCACCTTGGAATCCCTCTTTTATCCCTCACCCTCCTCAGCCTTCCCTGGAGGCAGAGAGGCCAGCCAGGTGACGCCTGACCTCTCCAGCCTTTCTCCCTGCTGAGAGCCCCCTCCCCTCCCCCCAGGCTGCCCCAGCGCCTGCTGAGTCTCCAGAGGTAGAAGAATGGGATTGTAATCCTGTCATGCAGATTAAGAGCCCTGGGTGCAGAGAAAGCTGGTGGGGGGGGGGAGGGGGGCTTTCCCACTGAGATTACAGAGCTGGGGAAGAACAAGGTGACAGTCTTCCTTGTCTGCATTAGGTGTGGCAGGTGGGGTTTTCAGCACATTTGTGTCATTCCTCAGAGCCACTGTCTGTCAGGAATGCTGTGTAAATTTACACAGGAACTTGCATCTTTAAAATTTTGTAATCCCATTTCTTTGTCGGGCTGAAGTCTAAATGACTGCCCCGAGGGTTGAGAAAGAAGCACACGGTAACGGTTCACATCCTGTGTCTTCCCTCAGCAGCCAGCAGAGCAGCCAGCAGAGCAGCCACGAAGATGATTCCAGCAGGTTCCTGAGTCCTCGGGCCCTGGAAGAGAGGTAAGATCAATGGGCGGGGATACGGCTGCAGTGGCCACTGGGCAAGAGGAACTGTCTGCGTGAGATTGCCCTTCGGGGGCACGTGAGAACTGTGGGAAACTAGAGGGAAACACGAGGCAGCCAGGCCTCTGCTCTGAGACTGATTAGAAAGCCAGGACATTCAACCAGGAAGCGAGGGGGCAGGACAGCAAGGGACCGATTCTCAAGGCTCTCAGTGTTCAGCGAGGGGAGAAGTCAGTGTGTGGCAAACCAAATATGTAGGGGAGGCATCAAAGGCAGCTTAAGATTGAGGCACCCCTGAAGCTAGGGTGCAGTGTGGACCAGGAGGGGAAAGGGCCTCTCACGCCTTGGGACAGCTGCCTGGCCTGGGACGGAAGATATGGCACCGGGTGTCAGCAGAACACCAGGACTGGCATGGATCGCGGGTGTCAGAGGTTGATGGGCAGTGCACCAGTAAGGACACTCCCAAATGCCTGATTCCAGATTTGGGGTTCCACTGGTTCCACTAGGTCAGTGAATTAGCTGAGGTCCAGCCCACATCCGCTTCATGTAGCACCTCTGAGTGGGGGACAGAGCGATACTTTAAACCTTTATGTTCAGAGACAGTTGACTGCGCTGCGGTTAACTCAGGCGAGGTCATCTCAGGGCTCTGCTCTTGTCCAGCTCTGTTTACCATCTTTATCAACAAACTGAATGAAAAAGCAGATGGTGCTTTTGCCTTCCTTACCAGATATGCAGCTGAGAGGGTGCAGAGAATACCAAGGATGATAGAATCAGGATGTAGTAGGATTTCAAATAGATCAATGTGTAGAAATGATGGGAGATTTTCTTTTTAAAGGAGATCTGGTATTCTGTATTTGTATTATATGTTTATACACTTATATCAGAATAGTATCTCAAGTGTAGATTACCACAGGGAGCCTAACTTGACAGGATTTCATGGGAAAAAGAACTTGGAGGTTTTATTTCCCAGCCAGACGAGCTGGGAATAGGACACAGGTACCAAATAATCCTTGAAAGTTGCAACTTGTTCATGGAAGTGTGGCGCATGGATTACGAAGAAAAAAATAAGCTCTCGCTGTAGTCTGGTCTAGTGTGCCCACATAACAGGTGTGTTACACCCAGTTTTTCTTTGGAAATGGTTGTGGATAAATTAGAGAAGAATGATCGGGATGATAACTGTATTATCATAAGGATCAGCTGGGAAAAGGGTTTAGCCTGGAAAAGGGATGGTTTAGGGTCACAATAACAGCACTCTTTAGCTACCTGACAGCCCAGAAAATAGAACTAGAAGGGGTAGAAGGCCTAGCGGGAGGATTTCAGCTCAGAATAAGGAAGCGCTTTCCCTGCTTAGAGCTGCACTGCAGTGGATAGGCCGTGCAAAGTAATGCCTGATCCGCTCCACGGAAGTGTTCAAGCAGAAGCTAGATGGTGTGTCAACAGGGATTCCGTCCCGGGTGAGAGGGTGGGACCCCTGTAATCCTTAGCTCTGTAGATTATTAAGTTTTGTGAGTTCTGCCCTAGTTTGCAGTTTTGTGCTCATTATTAACCAAAATTAACAGTTCAGCTCGTCAATTTAGACAAAATGTATACGGAGGCACAGGGCCCCCGAGAGGCAAAGATTAATCATTCTTGTCAAGATGTTTAATGAGTTATGATCCGATGGCAGCTCCCTCAGTCTCCAGAGTGGCCTACGCTCTCTTTACAGTGCTTTCTGGTTTCACCGACCACACTCTCAAAATGAGAAGGGGCCGTGGAGCTTGTCAGACCAGCTCCCTTCCCTGTGCTCATGCGCTAAATGCTTGAGGAGTGCGCTGCCCTTTTCTGCTCATATTTTTAGAATATGGCTATGAGCTCCATGACTGGCAAATCCTCAACTTCCTTTATGTTATCTCTGCAGCTTGGGCATTCCAAGGAGAGATAAGGGCTGATTTGCACAGACTTTAATACATTTTTCCCAAAGCAGCTTCATCTTGTGTGCTAGGACATGGCAGTTTGCTCACTGGGTAGAGCCCTGCCTTTTGTTCACTCTTTGGGGGTGTATATTGATATAAATTATATTCTAGCTCCTTCTCTGCCCACTCTGCCAACCAAATGAAATGTCACGATGGGTCTCCCATTAAAGCTCTCCCCAGAAGAATCCTCCACACGGCTTCCCTGCTGTTTACTGGTCCTCTGCCTGGCCCTGAATTCTTCCTGGTGGACGGTGGCTATTGGTCCACTTACCTTGAGCAGTATGGGAAGCAAGGGTTGTTATCACAAGTGTGCCTCATGTACGTGGTCGTCCCTTTGGACTCCTCCCCTCTGAAACTCAGCACAGGTATGTGTTCACTGGGGCTTTTCTGAATGAAGTCTTCTCTCTCTTCTCAGCCAGTGGGTTCTCCTGGAGAGAATTAAGTCCCCAGAGTAATAATTAATCACCCAGCCTCAGCTCGGAACAAACCCTTACACCCTGTGCCTCATCCTTACTCTAATATGTTTTTACCCAATTAAGAGATGCTCTGCGGCTTTTGGGATGTTGGTCTGAGATATCCTGGCATGGGGCAAATGTGAGATCCGCACCCTGGGGAGAGTTTCTGGCAGTGGTGAGGATCTGGCGCAGGCTTCTTGCTCTGGGCCCCATCTGATGGGCAGCACGGCTTCTGGTTATCGCGGCATTTCCTACACAGGGAGAACCTGAGTGTGCTCACGTCATCTGCTCTTTGCCACTCCGCTGGGAGGCAGGTAGAGCAGGTACTATTATCATAGATTGAAGATGCTCATGCATGAGGTGGGTAGTATGGACCCTTTTCTGTGGCTGCTCCTAATTCCCCAGATCGCATAGTTAATGATAGGATGAAGGACAGTTTCAGAGAGCAGGGGGGAAAAAGTCACACAGATCTCTTCTGTTTTAAAGATCAAAATTATGAGCCTTCAGGGTGAGATGCACTTTCAACTCGTTAAATAAAACATTGATTTTTCTTTTTCTTGTGCAAGGTTCAGAAGGATATACTACTTAGAGACAAAATAGCCACCCTACTGTTGTATTTTAAAAGTCGGCATTACGATGAAGGAGGAAATGCTTCAGTATTGTGTCTAAACCTCAGGACTCCTGAGAATTTTTCTCCTCCTTCCCATCCCTGTTCTGTCCTGAAGGAAAAAGGCCTTTGGAACCATGGTGGGGGCAGAGGGTAGGTGGGTTCAGGGAGAGATAGGCCTCTCCTGGGTGGGTGTGCCTCAGGGAGAAGCGTTGAATTTATGAAAGCATCCATTTATTGGTTAAATGGGGATTATCTGAAAGATAGCAATATTCTCCTCCAGTTTCCAGGAGAAAGCAAAATAGATTTAACTTCCCTGAAGTATGTATGTGTGTAGCTGTGTAATGCAATATGGGACATTAATCCATTTTCATGCATGTCAGTGAAGCCGGGGGTATACTTCAAGAACAGCAGTTCCCAGCCCAAACCAGACCAATCATAAGGGTCTCTCAAGTCTCCAGATCTCTATTTGGTACATTCATCCAATGGCAAGAACTTGCAAACAAAGCCAGGACTGTGGAAAAAGGAGCTGTTTCACTGAGAATCTTATGCAATGTTCGTTTCAACAGTGGTTAACCAGGAAACCTTCAGTGGTGGGAGGATTGGGTGCTGGGCAGGCTGGGGTGGACTGAGTACCAGGGCAGGGCCACATGCATGCACATAGATGGTCCTGCAATCAGGCTCGGGTGCCACAAATCCTTATTGCACATCTACAAACTATTGGGAACTTCTGGAGTCCAGGCTGCAAGGGGAATGGAGGCTCACTGCCTGCCGGTGGGTCTCTGGTATATTGGAAAGAGTAAAGCCTAAGAGTCAGACAGACTTAAGTTTTGACTATGTTCTTCCTTATTAACTGTGCATTTTAAAGGCAATTTACTTACTTTTATTCAACCTTAGTTTCCTCATTTGTAAAAGTCTTTTCTTGCAGAGATGAAATGGGAGCACCTGTATAAAGTGCCTTATACTAAGCAGGTGCTTAGGAAGTGGTAGCTGCTAGTACTCTGAATTTGGCTCTTATGAGATCGTACTCTGTTTCTTAGCGGATCTGTGCTTTGCTGTCCTTGAAGAAACAGAGACAAAGAATGTGTAGAATATTGATCACCTGCAAAAAGGCATATATAAACACTAAATTCAAATAGATGAGCCATACATACAAGTATGCAAGTATAATATGTAATAATTTATACATACGGAATTTTGTATAAAGTACTAAAATGAAAGGATTTGTTTACTTATGTGCTTGACCATATTGCAGTGAATCTTGCACACACTTTTAGGTATAATCCTCTCAACAATCCCACCAAACAGATGCTATTCTCTTCATATTAGAGTTTAGGAAACAGGCTCACAGGAGTTAAGAAATTTGCCCAAGGGTAACACAGCTACTCTGCTTGAGGGTGAGGATGAGGGGAGGGAACAGGGGTGGTTTCCAGAGAGAGTCCACAGAAGGGGCTGTGCCTCAGCCGAGTGCTGCAAGATGAGTAGGAGTCTGTCACATGGGCAGCATTCCCAGGCAAGGGAACAAGATGTGCATAAGCATGGGGGCGTGAGAAAGCAAGCCGCGTTCAGAACTACAAATACTTCGGTATTGCCGCCAGTCAAGTCACGGGAGAGGGGTAGCTCGCTAGTGGCAGGAAAGGATCTTTGCACAGGTAGGCAGGTGCCTGGTCATGTCACATCCTGCCATGAGAGAGTGAGCTTTAATTACAGATGAGGGGAGATGAGTGAGGATTTTGAGACAGGGGGTACCCAGGTGACTCCCAGGTATTCTCGTGAGAAGAATTACTTTGGTCCTAGTGTGAGAGATGGATTTAAGGGGCAAGCACTGGAAGCAGGCAGACAAGGAAGGAAACCGTGGCAGTTGCTGACCCATTTGTTCCCTCATTTAACAAGAATTTATTGAGCACATACTACAGGATAGCTACTCTTGCAGGTGTTGGGGGCTACAGCTATGAGGATAACCATTGTATCTCCTCTTGTGGT